TGTGGTTTGTTTGATTCCCTAATGGCCTGAAAAGTTGACACCGTGGGCCATTTTCATCACAAACGGTCGGAGGCACTTTGGTATCACAAACTGATTTATCTGCCTCACAGAGTGAAAGGTGTACATGCGATAGAGGATTTCGTCCTTCATAAAGGCCAAAATTTTAGCAAACGTTGTCTTCACCTCTTTGTTAACAGCTTCGAAGCATTTCCGCAGGTTGCTGTCTTCCTTCTGTTTGGTTCTGAAATCCTGTGAGCAGATGTACAAGGGGGAATAACTGGTGCAGGGAGTAGATGTGGTTTTCATGTCTGTTGGTTCACCGCTGCAACTTTTCTTTTGACATCTGTTTTGCTTGCAGCTGATGTCAAAGTCTTTGCGTAAAAGGGTCTGTGTGCAGAACTGCAAATTTCTGAGCCAGAACACTGGTCTGCAGCATCACTGGTGTAACGATGACTCTTCCAATCGTCATAACAATTGTGAGCATCTCGAACGCCTTCCATGTTTCCCAGAAGAACATCATATAAAGGATTATCTATCCAAATGGCTCGAGTCTTGCCAATGAAGAAGGGTGAAATAATTTGCACGTGTGCTTCAGGTAGCTTCATCAACCGTCCGTCCAAGATGCTAATCGCGTAAAAATTTTCTCAGTCAGCTCCCTATCCGCCACGAGAGACCTATTGATAATGATTGAATCGCATCCGGTATCTCGCAGTACTGTTGTGGGATGTCCTTCGAAAACACCTTCGGCCATGTGCCTTGGTTTTTCCTTCAGCTTGGCCAGGTGAGTTTCCACGCACTCCAGACTATCAGGAACAGGAAGGAAAGCCTGCGACCCCGAATTATTAACCTTGGTTCCATCTGTTTGTTGTAAAGTGCATGAGGCCTTCTCAACCTTATTGGCCTTTTGGGGGGAGTCACCTGTTTATTGCCCGGTGCGGTGACCCTTTCTGCAGAAGGTGGCTTTGTACCTGGATCCTTTGTGTCGGTCCTGCAATCAGTTGCTCTGTGACCCTTTTTAATACAATGGAAGCACTGCGGTATTTTTTTTTTTCGTCTTGCCGCTCAAACGTTTGAGTTTGACCTGGGGACTTGCTCAGCTTATTGCCTTTACTTTTGCCAAGGTTAGGAAACCCCTGGTCCTCGAAATAGTGGTCTAGCCTCTGCAAGGCTTCAAGCCTTTCACAGTTTCTTTTCTTAAGAGACACAGTGAGTTTCTCATGGCATTGTGCGAGAAAGTGCTCTCAGACAATTTTGTCTCGAAGAGCATCGTAGGTCCGGTCTGTCTTGGCCATTTCTTGTCAATAGTCAAAATAACCTGACAGACGCCCGGCAAACTGCGTGCCTGTTTCAGAATTCTATGGTTTTGCTGTTCATTGTCTGATAGCCTTCTTTCGTGAGCCTAAAGCGTTATAGTAGTGTTTTCTCTAGCGTTACGTAGTCCATGGCATGTTTAGGTGCCATTCTGCTAAGTACACTGAAGGCTCTACGGTCAAGCAAAGCCTTAACAATAGGGCCCATTTGTCTTGCGGCTAGTCTTGACTAGTGGCGACGGGCAAAAATCGCTGTCAACATGCGTCCAGCTCATCGCGTTCACCGTTAAAGACTGGGATGAGTTTATGTTGACTTTGGTAGCTCTGCGTTTTGCCTACGGGCGCACCGGCGGTAAGATGCCCAGTAGTTGTACTAACTGCTGTCACACCTAACTAAAGCAACCTTAACTTGAGCTCGAGAATTTCCTTTTCTGCTTTGAATCTAGCGACTGCCTCTGCCTCGGCTTCTGTCGCGGCATTTCATTGAGCCAGACAAGTGTCACGTGCCTCTTCTCCGCGTGTGCGTTCTTGGTCCATCCAATATTTTAATGCTGAGCCACTTGACCCCAATTCCTTTCCGATTGCAGTCAGCTTATCTGCCTCCATCGTCGACCGTTACACGCATATATGTGATGTGATGATCTTCTTAAATGGAACAAGAGCAGTCCTGTCACGCAGATGCCAGATATGTGGTGGTTAGATTCATCACGTAGCCAGGTGTGTGACGTGACGAAGATAGAGACAGTGTGAAAAACAAAATAAACTTATATTGGACGAGAAAAAACCATTGCAAAAATACAGTACTAGACATCGTGCACGCAAGCGGTTCACACACATAAGAAAAAAATGGCAGCATATCCACAGAGTGAATGATGAATAGTGGGGCGAAGCATTCGTCCGTCCATTCGTTCTTTATTCCGTCCGTCCATGCGTCCGTCTGTGTGACCGTCCGTGCGTCCATCCACCCGTCCACGCGTGCGTCTGTTCGTGGGTCCATCCTTGCGTTCGTCCATACATCCACCCCTGCATCTGTTCATGCGTCCATCCATGCATCTGTCTGTGTGCCCATTCGTCCATCTATTCAACACTCCAAGTACCGCCATATCGCCATCTTGTCATCATATATTCCCCATATAGAAGCACCGCCATCCAGCGGACATTCCTAGAACTAAACGAGACGTGGCACACGTACACTTTCTTACGGCTTGCGCTTCGGGTCTACTCCCCACCTTTAACCAACTCGAGTTCATAATATATACTAGTTCACTGTATTCATAGTACTGCGGCCCAACGCTCGCTAAACCTTCCTCAAATCAAAAAGGTTACGCCCAGCGAGTATAACGTAGCAACCTTTTCCTGTCAGATAGGGCTTAATGTATGTGCCAACGGCTGCTAATGGGAAATGAGAGACAGGAGAATTCGGCTTTTACTTTATTACGGCTTGCGCTTCGTACCTGCTTCCCCCCTTTAACCACCTCGAGGTAATGGTATATACTAGTTCATTGTATTCATGGCACTGAGGCTCAACGCTGGCTAAACCTTTCTAAAACCAAGGAGGTTACGCCGAGTGAGTATAACGTAGCAACCTTTTCCTGTCAGATAGTGCTCAATGTACATGCCAATTGGCTGCTTACGGGAAATCAAAGACATGAGCAATCCGCTTTTAGTTAACGCGCACGCCGCGAACTTTTTATTGTTTAACAAAGCACAGGAGAAATCTCCCACTGGCACCACCCTGCAGGTCAAAATGTAACACTGGTTACACACAACGACTACGACTATGAGGGACGAACGGGTGCCACTTTAAGGAGCTTCAACCCTAAAAGAGTAAACAGTCTCACAGAGTATGACGTAGCCCGGTGATCTGGAAGTGGCACCCGTTGCGTGCTCAGATGCAGTCGTCACTTAGGTGCACACATCAGCGTCCCGCTGCAGAAGGCATCGCCAGGTTTAGGCGTAGCCGCACACTGTCAGCGACGTCGGCTTGCTGGACGTGGTCGGTAGCTCTGGTGTTCCGAGGACGCTCGCCATACTGGAGATGTCCACAGGATCCCTCACCCAGAGCTCGTACCCGGACACGCCGACACGCCGTGACCCGAGGATGTCAACGGCTCGAGGACAGGAACCCGGCATTCCGAACCTCGCGCGTAGTTGCGGGTTAACCCTAGGCTCTCTTGCATCGTCTTGTCGGCGTCCTAACAGCTTCATTCTGCGCGAGCGCCTTCTCCTTTTTCTTCAATGGGCAAGCTTCATTGCCCCTTCATTTTTTGTCATCTTCAAGGTAATGCGGCACTGTCGTTCGCTACACTCGAATTTTCCAAGCAACTACATCACACACAAACAGGGAGTGCAGACGAATGCGATATCGCGATCTGTTGGCCAGATTGCGTTGCGTGTATTGCGGTAGTCTTTATCTTATTCGGGCCTGATCGTTAATAAAAGTAATCTTGTGGCAGCACTCGATTCGGATCGTGATTAATTCGTAACAACACTGATCACAATTAAAAGTGCCCTTGTGACACCGATATTAATCTGCCGCCGCTTCATGTCATGCCGACCAGCCGCAGTGAGTTCTCGAGGAAACAGCTGTCTAAGCGTTTTTTTCTCTTGGCTCATTGATGAGACAGGAAAAGGAAGATTTGAGTTGAGATCAACTGCAGGCGTGGTAAAACCGCAACGAAAATTATCTGATGCTGTGGAAGGATATAGTCTGTTGCGTATTGAATAATGTGCATATGAAAATCTGCTCCGGTACCTTACAGGGCGCAGATTATGAGGAAATTGATCTTTAAATGGAAATTACTTCAGTCTTACCGAATTATAAAAAAAGAGAAACATTGGCGACCTTCAAAATTGGTATAACTCCCCCGCAGTCAGGGGATATTTCTGAATATATATATGAGGTACTGTGCACATAATTAAGAGTAGCTTTGCGAAAATAATCTGGACTGGAACTTTTAGTACTGTCTGTGTTTAGCTACATATTTTGAACTGCAGTGCAACTCAACTCAATATCCGGGGCCAATACAAGAAAGGGGGCTCGGGACAAAACAATGGACAATATTGCTCTCCTTTAACATAACCATTCAGGGGTTCTGAGATCGTCTCAGCATCCAAGATTGATTGATATGTGGAGTTTAACGTCCCAAAACCACCATATAATTATGAGAGACGCCGTAGTGGAGGGCTCCGGAAATTTTGACCACCTGGGGTTCTTTAACGTGCACCCAAATCTGAGTACACGAACCTACACCATTTCCGCCTCCATCGGAAATGCAGCCGCCGCAGCCGGGATTCGAACCCGCGACCTGCGGGTCAGCAGCCGAGTACCTTAGTCACTAGACCACCACGGCGGGGCTCAGCATCCAAGAAGCTAACGGAACTGTCTTCATATTACGCAGGCCCACTGTATGCGTTCTTGTAAAATTTGTTCATAGAACGCGAACGCTAGTGTTTTTTGCCAGTTAAACACATGACACTTGAGGCAAACACTGTAGCCAGAACGTTTCAGGCGCAAGAAGTTACATGAAGCGTCTGGTAACGAGACTGAGACTAGTACTAGTTTGACGTACTTCATAATGAATTTGCAGTGCAACCGCACCATGTGTGTTTGCGATGCGCTTGGAAATTCATCTTTCGCACTGCTTGAGCTTTGACGCTTCTTTATGCATGTTACGTTTACAATCACAGGTCTTTCATCCAACTTATCGGAGATCTCCGAGAGCTGCAAGACAAACACTACGATGACAGACTCCAGCTAAGACCACCACAGAGGTGAGGTGTCCTTTGTACCTATTACTGTGTGACTGCCGCTCGTCGAAAAAAAGTGTATCGCCTGTGACGTTACATTGCTCAGCCATTCCGCACACAAGCGTACACATATATATACTCAACTTCCCATTTTCCTTAGCGTCTTAATATATACAGAGTGTTTCAGCTAAGAAGCATGAAGCAATAATAAACAAAAATGAGTGCTACGTATCTCCAGCTAGCGCAGCATTGTTCTTAGCTGTATTTAGCACGTCAGAGTATTTTTCGATGCGCCAAGCACAGTAATTAACAAGGACTGGTTATTGAGCTTTTTAAATACTGACTCTAGAGAAAGACTTTCATATCAAAACTTGTAGCTTTTATTCATTAATACCAAAACTTTCAATTTACGGTAAGAAAACAATGCTGGGTAATTGTTTTCCAAGGTTTCTTTAAAGTGCGCGAAATTAAAAAAAACACGTGATTGTCGCCTAACGTGCGGCGCTTTTAGTGCCCTCAAATGTAAATTGAACAATTTATCGAAGGCTTCTCACGCACGATGGTCGCTTGAAGAGGCTATCGGTGACTACAATGGACATTAGGCGTTGGTTGGAATGTACCATTTAAAAAAAATTTGAAAGGGGGGGGGAGAAAGCAAAAAAAAAAGACACACAATAAACTTCGACGAAAAAGCTGCCGCCACGTGCAATGCGATACAAGACAGGAGGCAGCATTTAACGCAGCGCAGACTGTTTTTCTTTTCTTTTCGGCCCCAATATAAACGTGATGGTGGGGGAGAAGGTGACATAATGACAAAGAAAGGATATGAAAACTTCAACGTTAATTATTCCAGAATTCTTTTTGGTCATATATGAATCAATCATGTGCGAATGCTCTACTAAATACTTCAAGGCATGTGGCACGAATGGCTGTGGGTTTGAACGTTTATTGCCCGTACTTCGCCTCTGTTTAAAAAGTCATATTCAGTACCCGTCTGTTAGAGCGCAGTGCGTATAAATATACAGAAAGTATAAAAATGTGCCTGTGCTCTTACAGCTAACTCTCAAATAGTAGGAAAGCTATGTGTTGGAAATAGATCAGCGTAATTGCAAAGTACAAAGAGCTTTTATTAGACGTCATGGACAGTTATTCGCCAGCTCAAACAGCCCAAATTAGCCTCTATACGTAACCTACATCGAGGCAGGGTATTTTTTGTGATGTTTTGTAGCATTCGTAGAGTAATATCGGCAAACATCTGCTGTATTAGACTTCAGTCTTGCGCGCGTTGTCCTCGCTTCCGTGTAGACATGGTCTTCAATGTATCCCCCCCCCCTCCCCAAAAAAAAAAAAACCTAGCGGAGTCAGAACTGGGGATCTTGCGCGCTCTTGGGGGATCTACAGGTCCAAGATGGCCGATCCATTTCTCGGGCGATTCTCGATCAAGTCACGTTCGAGTCTGCGCGCAGCTGTGCGGAGGAGCTCCGTCTTGCTTGAACTAGATATTCCCAAGCTGGGCTACAGTGAGGATGCAGGTGAAGTCACTCAGTTGGCCATTTAGTATTTCGCTGATGCAGCGTTCTGTGGCGAGTTTTCCATTGAAAAAAACCGGGCCAATAATTTTGCTGTCGTAAATGCCACACCAACATTGAAAGACAACTGCACCTGGTGTTGTGACTGCAACAGCCAGTGATGATTTGTAGCGCGTCAGTAATGACCATTGTGAACATTAATTTGTACATTGCGCAAAAAGCGAGCTTAATCAGACCAGATTATGTTCTTCAGGATGATGGGATTACCGTCTTCCTGTAGCAGTATCCAGTTTGCAAAAGTCAAGACGGCTTTGCGAATCTCTGTCTTCCAGATGTGGATGCAGGTGAACATGGCATGGGTGAAGTCTCGCGCTCGTGAGTACGCGCCAAACACTACTGCTGGCAACGCCGGTCTTAGCACTTACGTCGGGCACGCTTGCGTGGGCATGGGCTTCCATATAAGTAAGAATGTCTATTTTAAAAGACTCAGTTTTCTTTTTCTTTATGAACGTAGACCTTTTCTGCGCTGACGCTGCTTTTTTAACGTGCCTGTCTCCGTGAGCGTTTCGTAATTTCGCACGAATGTCGAAATATCTACCCAAATTCCTGAGTGCCATCTGCGAAATAATCTTGTCGCCTCTCTCCTGTTTGTGTTCGCTCGGCCGAGGGCGAAAATCATATTGGCACGTTCTTCATTAGTGAAACGCATCGTTCCCAATTGAGACTTTTCCTTGTCGAAACGTGTCCCCCCCCCAAAAAAAAACTGTGCACCACATATTCCTGCCGTGTTTTTGATATCCTTCTTTTATCAAAATGTCGCTCTCTCCCCCACCAACATGTTTATTAGTGGCCGGAAAAGGAAGAAAAAAAAACGTCTTCGCTCGTTCAAATGCTGCCTCCAGTCTCGTATCACAATGCACGTGGCAGCCGCCTTTTCGTCGAAGCTTATTGTCTCCCTTTCTTTCTTTCACATTTTTAATAAGACCTACCAACCATCTATTAAGGTCTATCGTAAACACCAATAGCCTGATCAAGCAACCTTTGCGCATGAGAAGCCTTCGCTAGTTCCTTTAATATACATTTGTGGGCACATTAAGCGCCGCGCATTAGGCGGCAATCACGTGATATTTTTTTTAATTTTGCGAACTCTAAATAAACTCTTGAAAAAAATTTAACCAGTATTGTTCATTTACCGTAGCTTGAAAACTTTGTTACTTCTGGATAAGAGCTACAAGTCTTGTATTAAATTTTTTTCTGAGTCAGTATTCAAAAAGTTCTTTACGCAATATTTGTAAATTACAGTGCTGGTGGATCAAAAAATTATTCTGACGTGCTACATACAGCTAACAACAATACTGCGGTATCGGAAAATGCGCAGCACTGATGTTTAAGTTTTTATTGCGTGGTGTTTTCTGGTTGAAACATGCTGTATATATTTAGACGCCATATATATATATATATAGGTATGTATATATATATATATATATATATATATATATTCATATATATATTCATATATATATATATATATATATATTCAAAGTTCATAGGTTCGATTCTCACGGCAACCTACTTTTTATCCACTTTTCTTTCTCTTATTTAAATTTGTTTAATTTGTTTAGTACACTCCCCTATACATTCTTTGGGCCTGCCGTGGAGGCGGAAGTGTTGTAGGCCCGTGTGTTCCCATTTGGATGCACGTTAAAGAACCCCAGATGGTCGAAATTTCTGGAGGCCTCCACTATGGCGTCTCTCATAATCATATGGTGGTTTTGGGACGTTAAACCCCACACATCAGTCAATTATATAATTTTTGGCATTATTGCACGTTATATCTCTTTAATGTTCTATCAAAACACAAAAAAATGAGTACTTAGGTATGCACTTCTTTCTCTTATATATATATATATATATATATATATATATATGTTTTAAAGATCAAGATTGCTGCGGCGTTTGACTTGATACAATTCCTTGTTCGGTAACACAACCTTGTAAGTGATACACTGCACAGGCTCGAACGAAAATGCGAAATAAGACAGACGGGTTGCCAGATAAAAAGATTCAGCATTACATACCTTGCTGCTACTAACGATTTAGCCTATAAAGCGATCATTTGGTCGTATACTGTAATGTCATTGCTTCACACTACCTGAAACGCAAAACTTGCATCTCCCTGGGTCTATTGACAAGCCGTAAAAGCTAAGGTCGTGGTTGCCTTATTGCATCAGCGCACCTGGAGTCGATAGACATCCCTGTTACTATCCACTTTTGATTTGCGGCGTTGTTACAAAATGAGCTGAGACTGTCCTGTAGAAATGGAAGGTTAATGCGCTTGAGACCTGACTCCGAACTTTAATATATGGTGTATTTTGTTCAAAACGCCACAAAGGTATCGTAAGATCGTACAGGTACTGTATGCTTTTTTTTCGCGAGCGTGCCGCTGTAACATTCATTTTTGTTTGTTTTAATATTTGTCTGAGAGTATATGATTGACGTGGTGCAAAAAATTCATGCATCGCGCTGTCGTGCTCACATGCTCCTTTTGGATACTTTCTTGGCTTTTGGCGCTCTGAAAACAGACGTATTCTATACACGGGAAAAGCAAGGTTATTTGCCATGTATGTTCACGCGCATCCTATATTCTATTAACATTAAATATGTTATTCAGGCATGGTAACAATCAGAAAGCCGATAGCGCCACCTTTCGTATTTCACTTCGTTCACTTGCAGATGTACGGAATATTGATTGATTGATTGATATGTGGGGTTTAACGTCCCAAAACCACTATATGATTATGAGAGACGCCGTAGTGGAGGGCTCCGGAAATTTAGACCACCTGGGGTTCTTTAACGTGCACCCAAATCTGAGCACACGGGCCTACAACATTTCCGCCTCCATCGGAAATGCAGCCGCCGCAGCCGGGATACGAACCCGCGCCCTGCGGGTCAGCAGCCGAGTACCTTAGCCACTAGACCACCGCGGCGGGGCAACGGAATATTCAGTGGTCTATTCATAAACTAAACTTCAAGTAAAATTTCTTACACGATGTTCTTTCTTACATACGTCTTCTGCATGACCAAAAAATCAGATCAGCAGTTCTTTTTTTTCACTTCATTCCTAAATAGGCCCTGAAACACTTTCTCGAGTGACCATAAAAATGATTAACGAAAAAAAGACTATTGCCTCAGTAAATGAACGCCGAAAAACTTTAAAGAATTCAACCTGTACGAGGGAAGTTACAAAGATGTATTGCAAGCTACAACCAAATTCTCTCTTCCCAATTATTTATTTGTGGAATTTAACGTCCCAAAACCACAATATGATTATGAGAGACGCCGTAGTGGAAGGCCTAAGAAATTTAGACCACTTAGGTTTCGTTAACCTGCACTCAAATCTCAGCACACGGGCCTACAACATTTCCGCCTTCATTTTAAATGCAGCCGCCACAGCCAGAATTTGATCCCGCGATCTGCTGGTCAGCAGCCGAATACCTTAGCCACTAGACCACTGCGGCGTGGCACATTCTCTCTTCTTGTGTACCGACGAAAGCGCTGGGAGCTAAGCAGAGATGAGAGGCACCGGTAAAGAAAGTATGTCACGCGCACCTCCCGACCTCAAGCACATTTTTTTTTCAATGCGCGGCTTTTTCAATGCGGCCGCACGCGTGGGTGTGGACAAATCGAGGCCTCTCATGGCGGTTTTCGTAACTACCGAGCACTCCATGTTCAAATAAGCCAATGGCTGACTGATGGTAATCTACGAGTGATTTTCAAGCGTCTTCCATCATTTCAAGAAGGAAGAGAAAGCAGTATATACTTGACTTCCATAGTTTATTGTGATTTCCAGGCCGCGTGCGGCGCTATAGCATTTGACTAGCGTGTTTTTGGGAGCCTCTACCAACGATGGGAAGTCTTTCCTGACCATGCTAAAAAGGTCTCACAGTGCCCCTTTAATGTGGAACTTTTGAACATGAAAAGGCTAAAACTTTCTGCTTTTTTTCAGACTCAGAAGTTAAAGCAACTATTAGTTGATTTTACCTCTGAAGTACAGAAGTTTTAAATAGTGAATAAGAAGCAAACAGATGAGGATAAGCACTTAGTCTCTAATACCCTTTCAAACACCATATGTGGTGTATCTCATAATTATAGGAGGAAATTACTGAAGTTTATGAGAGCTTGTCTTTGAGTGAAGGTGGAATAGCTGACAGACAGCACGCCGCATGGTTATATGGCAATTTACAATAACCTGGTAACGCGTTGCAGTGTCACTGTTTCGTTTTCTTGGTATTTCTGACAAAGTAGAAAAATTTAGATTAGTTTGATCACGTTGAAAGAAGTATAGCTTTTCTGTATTACGAGCTAATATCAGTTAACCAAAGAAAGAGATTTAGTTGGGAAGTTACGCAAACTACAACTTCATTCTTTCAATCGTACAAGGCTATTCCTCTGATTTCCAGCTGTTTTGTGCCAATTCATCAGCACCATACTCTCAAACATCACACTGCTTTGTTTACACTAAACTTTGCACACGCTTCTGAACTCACCTATTCAGTTTATTCCTCAGGATCACAAGCAAAGCTCTGGAAGTGGACTCCGAGGTGAAGCCTATTCAGCTGGACGATCTCGAAGTGCTGGCCACGCTTGGCGTCGGAGGCTTTGGCCGCGTTGAACTGGTGAGGGCGAATACACATGCAGCCCACTTGGGCATGAATACGCCGATGAAAGCTGTCTAGCTTGTGTATTTGCTGAGGCCGGTTGAGTCTGGCGTTCCAGGCAGAATAGTTACCTTCATGAATATTGGGACTCAAGAAAGCAGCGCATTTCCACTTTGCCGTCTTAAAAGGGCCAGATGAAAACTTCTTCTATTTAGGTCAGATATTTCCAATTGCCTAGAATATCGTAAATTAGCGTTAGCAAACCTCACTGACTTATTTACGGGACGTTCAGTGTAAACCTTGACATGACGCACAATTTATACAGTCAGCTTCGTGGGTGAACTGGTGCCGATGTCTTATGTCGACTAATCAGACCGATCATACAACTATCTTCCTCTTGCTCATACGGAAGTTTGTTCGCTGAAGCTCCAGGTTGCCCTGAATGAAGAATTTCAAAAATATTCTCTTTATTAAAAGCTGTAATAATTAAACTTGATTCATAAGAACAGTTTCCTTGATTTCTATTGATGTACCAAATGGTCATTTAAATGGAGCGCCACATGCCATAATTTCGGTCTCAATGTGCCCTACACAAAGATTCTCTAAAAATTGTGAATTTTTAATGTACGACTTCCAGTGCGCAGTGGTCTCAAAATATTTTTATCTTGAAATCTAGTTTCTTTATGTAAGAATTGATTACTCCGATATTCATATACTTATAGCGCAGTATTAAAAGTGGGAAATAAGTAAAAAATGTTTCCAATATTTGTGACTTGGCAGAAAAAAGGAGCAAAACATATGAGCTTCCTGGTTTTTAAACGAACGCTTTTGTTTGATATGCAAACAAAGTATTGCATTGAAACTAGAAGTGATACTCCCTCGATAAACTTCCTGAAAATCATCTTGCACAAGTTTTCGTTTAAACGCAAAATTTTCTTTGCATAATAAGCAAAAGCGTTTCTATAATGTTTTTAAATCTCAATAAGTTTTCTGACAATCATTGGATAAAGACGTGCGTTCGGGCGTACTTGTGTCTAGGAATACTCTACATTTTTCAACTGTGAAAATTCTTGATGCTCATTGATCGAGCAAAATTGACGACGTCTTCCTTCAGGCTTGGAAACCACCGACCCAAAGAGACAGTGGACCCCTGCCATATGCCTAGTGATGGACCGAAGATGCTTGACCTCATTCTCTTTTTAGTTCCTTGTGATTCTACTACCCACTCATCAGTGGAAGAGATCAAACCGGAAGCCGACTTCACGACATTCACTATCAGCCTGTCGGGAAGCAGCCTTCCCAAGATGTCATCTGCAGAGGACTCGACACCAGCGCTGAATATTGACAAATAGTGTTTCTTAGTTTCGTATGCGCTTGCCTCTACATACAGCAACTTCAATTCACTCAAGGGGCAGTCGTTAACTGAATATTTTGATCGAGTTGCACTTGCTAAAGACACTAAAATTCGCCAATAATTGAAGAATTTGATCGAGTTGCACATGCACAAGTCAATGAAATCCGCATGAATGGCAGGATAAACATACTCTTAGTTAATGTTACAAACAAGGCCATTCTGTCCACCATTGTAGATGAGTGGCTATAGTGTTCTTCTGTTTACCCGAAGGTCAAGGTTTGATCCTCGCCGCGGCGGTCACATCTTGGTCGGGGTGAAATTCTTGAGGGTCGTGTGCTTTGCGTCATCAGCGCACATTAAAGAAGAAAGATGGTCAAAATCTCGGGAGCCCTCTACTACGGCTTCTCTCAAAATCACGCTGTGGTTTTCAGACATAAACCCTAGAAAAACGTATTCGAGAGTATAAAGGCCATCACCTGGCTAGGAAGTATCCAGTGTGCTCGTTGCTTGCTCACGGGAAAGGAACAATGACTGACGTGCTAAAGTTACGCAGACATTGATATTACAGACGCTCACCCCCGGAGATTTGTAACATTAACAGTCAGAAGCGCGGTGATTCACTGCTTCGGGCAGTCAGCTAGCATTTGATTCTGACACTCTGCCGTTCGGGTCAAAGTTGCATACGTGAAACATCCTGCGCGCCCTTACCTGACAAAATAATTGTATTGTCACATGTGCCGCAAGCTGGGGCATGTAAGAGGAGCGGGCCAGAATTAGGTGACTCATAAGGATGAAAACTGCGATTCCGCTGCTTCTTTGACATGCCCTGACTGATCTGGTCACATGAAGCGGCTTTGAAGGATGGCCTGATAAAAAAACACGCATTCGCGTCGGGCAAAAGATGATGGACGACTCGGTGCACTCACACAGAATGATGTGAGAGACGCCATTTGAAACACAGGCGCCAGTGGGACCGCAGCCCCCATAGAGCTGATGCTTGCCCCACAGCAGAAGATGAAATATTATGCACGCATCAGGAGGCCACAATACACTCATCTTGAGTGCACCACATTCCAGAGGTGCACACAGGTCAGTTCAAGCGTTGCACAAAAATGCTTCAGATGTTGAGCGGCTTTCGCTACCGTTCCGAGCAATAACAATGACCATATAATGGGCTATAACTGCAAACATGGCGGAAAATTATTAGGAAAACTCAGAGGAGACCGACACTATAATGAAGACCCAGCCAAAGTCTTTTCGCATCATTGTTCGCGAGCTACAAAAGCTAGGCACGAAAGCAGCAATGCAGATTTTCAACGCGCTGAAATTGCTCCTGGTAGCATTTCCGTAGAACAATATGACGAATCTATTTGAAGTCCGCGTGGCGCTTCTGCTGTAATGCAGTCAATTCAAATAAGTTTGCAGAGGCGCTTGTCTGATTTTCGGCAAAAGATGTTTTATATCAGTTTCCGGTGGCTGCTGTATAAGGGCGCCAAACATGTTATTGTTATAGTGGGAATTCCGAATGCGTGGCGCGATGGTCTCACGATGACCAAAATAAAAGCAGATTATTTTTTTGTAAACGTCGAGATGCAATGCACATACGTGAAGATTGACGTGACTTTTCATGCTGTAAAAATATATCTGCGTAATCTTAAGTAAAAGCGACGTTCAATATCTATCATGAATAGATATATCTCTCCCAGAAGGCACCTGTATTGTTTCAACACTTGGCGGTGCTCTATGCTTGCCCATGACCTTACGTTTTTATTTGAAGTTTTAATGCACATCATCGTCTGCGGTGCTCTGCTTCAGTGAAAATGAGAAGTAAGAAGTTTGCTGATTTCGCACTAAGTCAGGGCCAGCGTTCATCAAAGATAGATCACCTATTTTCCTTTTTGCCGCATAACTAGCAGCTGTTTTAATGTTTGTTTTGCAACTAGGAGTCTCTTTTCTACCACTTGCTGGTGTGTATAAAAAAAATTGATGATGATTTATATGTGTGGTTTAACATCCCAAAACCACCATATGATTATGAAAGACGATGTAGTGGAGCACTGCAGAAATTTTGACCACGAGGGGTTTTTGAACGCGTGCCAAAATCTGAACACATGGGCCTACAGCATTTTCGCCTACATCGAAAATGCAGCCGCTGCTGCCGGGATTTCTTCCCTCGACCAGCGGGTCAGCAGCCCAGTACTCTAGCCACTAGGCCACCACGGCGGGGCTCTATCTCTTCTATTGAAACAGCAGGTGTAATTACAAATGTTCAGCTCCTCGAAATTGCAATTCAAGAAAATGCATGGTTACGAAATTGTTTATTTTCCATTGCTCGCTATCGAGTGTGCGAAGATGCCCATCAAGGTCTTTCCAAAAATGCACGCTCTGTAGAAAAACTAAAAAGAAACAAAAGAAATTGTAAATGATTCTGAATTGATCTAACGGGCACAATATTCATAGGTTCAAATCACCGTAACGGGTGAGAAGAAGGTGCAACGAAAGAGATGGGAGATAGAACACTCGAACCGGTGTGGGCTCTTATTTATGGAGGAGGACGACACGATTGCAAGTGTGACGATGATCGACAGGAGGTGCAGAGATAAAACATGCGCATGCTAAGCAGGCGAGGAACGCTGGTCAGAGCGACAAAGTATGAGCAGTATTGATTTTTAATAGATTCTAACATGGTTATGTCTTATTGTGGCAAGGTCGCCAAACAAAAATGCGTATTTGAGTCTTTATTAACTCTTATGAGCTCTCAGTCAGCGTTTTTTCGCTGAGTTGTTCTACGTGCGTTAGAGGCACAAAAGTTTTCGAAGAGTTTATTGCACATTGTTATGACGTGCATGTGCCAGTTGAAATTTGCTGTGAAATTTACTCTAATGTATTTAAACTACATACCACTTACAGAATTGTACTATCATTAGTATATGTGAAACGAAGAGGTTACTTCTCATTTAAAAAAGTTGTTACTACAGTGCTTTTTTTGGTTGGCCATATTTCACTCCCGATGCGAAACGACGTAAAAAATAACACTCTTCCGCCCACCCAGATCTTGAGTAATACAGGCAGTTCCACAGATAACGCCGTAGTATGCATCTATTCTAAGTTGAATTTGATTATCACCGATAACTTTTCTTCCTATTTATATAAATATTAAACAAAAGCGAACAGAGAACCACGCCTTCAGGGCTCTTCCGGATGTGATATGTACCTCAGGTGACTTCGCGTGGTTAAACGCAGCAAATTATGAGCGCGACAGCTAGAATCGGCTATCAAGTCAACCAGCTCGTTGAAGCTATAAAAATTTGAAAAGGCTGAAAGTTTAGCTCGACAAACCATGCAAAAGACTTTAAAAATGGGAATAAATATGACATCACATGTATTCGGTCGTTAAGAGAAGAAACAATGCTGCGTGTAAATTGAAGTAACAGTGTAACAGTAGAATAGCTAGCATAAAAGCCGTGCTGTGATCGTGAACGTATATTATGCCTTTGGGCATTCTACAACGCATTTCTTAATGATATGCTCCAAACTTTTTAAGCTGGTAGAAGGAAAAACCTACTTCTACTTTGGTAGTATTTGTTAGTTTCTGGTGTTAAAAACAGTCACTACGTTTGATAATTCTACACTCCGGATACTGTTGCAGAGATGATTGTTTTTT